ACAGTCAAGTTTTGTTTGTAGCAAATACTGTTTGTTACGCTTCTGTTAAATGTTTGTATACAACTGTTGTTCGTACACTTGCCGGTGCCGGTATTTATAGTTCTTGCGGTGCCGTCGAAAATTCAGCTATGTTGTCTGTGGTCATGGTTGAAAAGTAGCGAATTACATGTTATCTCAATAAAAGGGGCCATCGACCGTGAAAGCAGTATAGAAAGTTCCGGTAAATTCTGCTCAGAAACAAAAGTTCTAGAAAAGTAAGAGTACATCACTCAAGAAGAGCGCATGAGATGAAACGCTTGAGAGGGTGAAATTCAGTGGAAATTTGGAGAAGTTTGGAGAATTTCTCTCTTGATTTATTAAAGTTGTTTTAAGAATGATAGAATCTTCTCTATATATGTATGTATCTGTATTCTATCATTCTTGAAGCTGATTGAAAAGTTTGCATATTTAAATGGACAGATGTAATAGTTTATGATACAAAAATTAAATAATTAGTTAATTTTATTGAATAATGTGTTAAGAGAAATTTTTTCAATAAATATACATTTGGAACAATGAGAAGTTTTCCGCAAATACTCTCCACATTAGGAAGAAAGCTTCGCATAAGTGTTGAGAAGAGCTTAAATTACAGAGAATACAAGCAAATATTTATTGACTCATATTTTAGTATATGGCGAGTTTATGAAACTCTTTAATGTTCGTAAGAATGTAATGCTAGAAAATATCCAAAAACTATGATAAAAGGGCGAAAAATTTTAAGACTTTTGAGCATTTAGTTTTTTTATAATTGTTATGTTTTCCTTATAACTATATCTATAAATGAAAATTTTAGTCAAATTGATCCGAATTTGCTAGATTTTACCAGAAAACTCCACGAAACTCATAAAAAGAGAGTACAGCAAGCAGAAAGGAATCGCCAGGTTTTAAAATTTTTTCGTGTTATTTGCCAACTTTACCTTATTCTGATCGATCAAAATCAAAATCAAGTCTTTTTGTGTAAAAGTGAGGTTAAGGGGGTTCCATGTGACAGCCTGTTTGTAGGGATTTTTTAGAATTTTTTTTCTACGTCCAGTAAATATATTGAGCTTTAAGTTTGTTTTCAGTTATTAACATTTATTATGACAGTATAAATAGAAATTTTAAGCTAAAAATATTGTGTAGAACATGAGTTACAGCGTTCTGAACACCCCCGCCTCGAAAAAATTTACTCGCACTACTCCCACGATTCCGGCGGATTGGCTTATCTGGAATAATAAAGATTAGCGGCGTTTTAATCTGTCTAAATGCACGGAGTGGACTATTATCAAAAGATTATACCAAAAATTGGAATTTTGGTAGACATTTGAAAACAAAGTTGCGAAATTTTGGGAATTTTTTATTGATAATACTTGTAGTTCATACAAGTACAAGTTTAAGGTCATTCGATCAAGCCGTTTTAGAGATACGAAGGAGGAAAGTTTGAAAAAAACACTTTTGAGAAAAACGCGTTTTAAGTTTAAAGTCAACTCATCGCTCCGCACAGCACATTCTTCTAACTAATGTATCTATAAAACGTCTTCGAATTGTTAAAAATCACTTTACTACCGTATTCTAGACAGCAATTTATGAAAAAAAATCGATTTTTTCAGCCCATCACATGGGGTCAATAAGTTAGGTAGAATCTAAAAGTATTATTTAAACAATTGTGATGGATTTTGGATATTCTTGTTGGAAAACTTTTTGCTCTATATATCTTTAAGTAAGTATATATGAATGTACATACATACATACTAATGCTAAAATTAATATTGTGTAACTTTGATAAGCGTATGACTGAAAAGTTCGAAAAAAGATAATATTAAATTTTTATTTTTAAAAGCAACAAAAGAAATTCACCAAGTAAACAAGCTGTAAAATATATTTACACTTTTATTGCGTTTTTAATATTTTTAAACAAATATGCCCAAGTAATTATCACAAGTGTGCATTAAATTTCATCATTAATGTGTTTTCTATAGTACACATAATAAAATATAAAAGAAGTAACAATATTTTCACAACAATTCAATTTCTACCATCATGCTACTCTCTCATACAGCTGTTGCTTTCTTATCACCGCTAAAAATCATTTAATATATTCTCTTACTCTTAAAGAACATTTCTTTCTGCGACCACTTCTCCACTTTTCGCGAATTTTCTTATACAGAGAACGTAAAATATATTCATTTACATTCTCTGATGTTACTTTATTTGTGTGCTATTATTGTTTACACAATTTCTAGTAAACACGAGAATGAACACGTAGAGAGTATTTCAAAGAGCGCGAGCTAGTCCGCAAACGCAAGAGCAATATATATATTTCAACTGAGAGCAGCGCCACACTGTCAGAAAAGTATAAAAGCCAACGGCACTTTGGTGCAACTCCAGTAAAAAGTTGAAAAATCAAATTTGAAGTCAAAAGTGATTTCAAACAAACAAACGAAAATTTTTCTGTAATATTTTTGCAATCGAAGTGAAAATTATAAATTTGTAGTAAAAATGCGTCCACTTCCACAATTATGGCGCATGGCTGAGGAAATGCAGCGTTTGGCTTTCCCACGTCGATCACCATTCTCGGCATTTTACGATGACTTCTTTAACGCACCGTTCACATATTCACCATGGAGTCGTTTAAGTCGTCTACAACAGGACTTACAAAACCAGATTGAACCAAAGTTGGGCAAAGAAGGCTATCAAGTGTCGTTAGATGTTGCACAATTCAAACCCAATGAATTAACCGTTAAAGTGGTGGACAACAATGTGGTCGTAGAGGGAAAATATGAAGGACGTGAAGACGAACACGGTTTCATTTCGAAACATTTCGTTCGCAGTTTCAGTCTGCCCCATGGTTTCAAAGCCGATCAGGCCATTTCAACACTTTCATCGGATGGCATACTAACGGTTAATGTGCCCAAACCCGCTGGTTTGGAGGATAATGCGGCAGAACGTGTGATTCCTATTCAACAGACCGGTCCAGCACACTTGAATGTAAAGGAGAATCCGGCAGTGGAGGATAAGAGTGCTGAGAAAAAGGATAAAAAGTGAACCATATTTTTGTTTTAAGTGTTTCAAATAAAATATAATACATGCATATACAGAAGTAGTGTTATAGACTGTTATTAGTTATTTACGAATAAAAAAGAAGACTGCAAATCATCAATTTTGTGTTTATTTTCTTAAAATAGTAATATTTTTAAAACAATTTTTTTACTAGAAAAAATGGCATTAAATTTTGAAAGGATCCCCTTTCCAAGATCATGGACTACCGTGTATACTTCAGAGCTTGTTGCGGTTACGGTATGCATAATTAATGAGGTGACGTCAGGATTAACTTTTGCAAGGGAAACTCGAGAGCTATTTTCTATAATAGCGATAAACGATGGTGAAAGACGCAACAACTAAGATTCGTATACCATTTAACATGATTTTCGTCCAATCGGTTAATTTTTGTTCTATATTTGGCATAACTATCTATCAAAATGAAATTATCTAGTGTTCCAATAGCTCTCATTCAAATATGACTCGCACTGACAAAAAACCTACATTTTCACGTATTTTAATACAAATATTTATTATCGCCTTCAAAATAGGAAAATAGACCAATGTAAGCATGCTAATATTTAATACAAATTTTCTTGGTAAAATGTATCGGAGAGAGTTGTTGAGATCGTCTGCTACTGTTTCTTTAACTTTTTTAATGTTATCGTCATTAACAGAAGTGGATGGTCAACTGGCATGAGGCAAGTTTTCTATGACATCATTACCTTTACTAAATGCCATGTGCCACTCAATTGCATGAGTTTGGGATAAAGTAGACTACTAAAATATTTTTGCAACATTTGAGTTGTATGGTAAAAGTTGTCAGATAAACTTTTCATGTCGCAAACGAACATAAAAAAGGTTATATCAGTCTAGGAAAATTTTTTTTATCGATTCGGTTTGCGCAGGCAGTTTTAGAAGGCAAGTCCGGTTCAAATTTGATCAGATGATACTTGACCAGCTAGTGAAACTTCAATATGTCGGGCCGGTTCTGAACCGAACCAGTCACCATTTTAAATATTCATATTTTTTCATAGACCTTATCCCTCATACAAGAATACACTTTTTTAATATTATAGCAAATTTATAGATTAATTTTTTACTTAATAAGGGATGCAGTAGTGTTTCGTAAAATTTCCGGTATTTCCTCTCAAATACGTGACTTGAGTTCTTCAAAGCAAATTTTTTGAAAGAAGAAAGTCCATTTGGGTATAAATGAAGAGTACGAGGCAGGCAGTTATTACATCTTCATAGGGATATAATATTACGCTCGACTTGTTTTAAAAGGAAAGTTGGAAAAAACCACAATATTACAGTTCGGCGAAGTTTTTAGTCTCAAAACCCTTGTAAACCAAAATTATGCCACTTAAGAAAACTTTCCTTTGCTGTTGTACCGTATAACTTTAGATTTTTATGAGGTTAATATCGAGACTACCGCCAAAATTTGGGTGGAAAACTCGACTAATCGTTAGTATTCATTATTCAAATTCATCAGAGTAGTAAATTTCCTAAAAAAAACTATGAGCTTTATATATTATTTATTATTAGTTATAAAATTCATAAGAACCAAAAAAATTGCCTTAAAATGCTGAAACTTATACCGTTAATAACTTATACCGAATATTAACGGTATAAGTTTAAATACTTTAAGGCCTTTCCTACAAAATCTATGAAACGGGATATTTTTTTAAGTAGTTGGAAGAGAGATTTGAGTTTTTCTATCTGGTAATAAGAAAAAAGTAAAAAACTGTAAGGTGGAGGACCATCTCGTTACAATTAAAAGCTCATACTTGGAGAGACTTTCTTAGAAGTGTCTATAAACCTATTTTCACAGTACCAAGTGAAAAAAATATTCCTTTTTTTGTACCCACCCTAATCTATATACATATGTATTAAAATTTAATATATAAATGTACATATAGGCTTTATTTTATATATTGTATGCATGATTAAAGCTTAATTTGCAATTTCAAAAATACTCTTCGTAATAAATGCATATTGGAACTTGTATGAGCAAAAAAGTATCAAAAATAGTTTGACCTTGATTCTGAAATTTCTTCTGCTGCAAATATATACATATATATGTTTATGTACATTGAACAATTCTTTATTACATATGTCTACTACATATTTACATTGTAAACAACCTGGCATCAATGAACCACCTTATAGAAAAATTCTATTTTGTATAAAAAATTATTACTTATGAACTGATACATACATACGGATTTGTATACATAAAACAAGCAAAAATGTGAACTTCGGTTGCAGCGAAGCTATAATAATTTTCACAACTAAAAAAGTTTGCATACAAGAACTAGGTTTTGATCGGTCAGTTTGTATGACAGCCATATGCTATGGTAGGCCGATCGAACCAAAGTTCATCAGTTCAGTAGCTCAAAAATTTCCTACTGGGTTGGTACTTTGACAAAATTTATTAGCATTTCACTTGCACTTGCACAACCACACGGGTACGAATATATAAATAACTTTTGTTGATGATTAATTTATTTCACTTTTGTACTTATTTACAACTTGAAGGTGTTTACAATTCTAATTAAACAATTTTTCACTTGTTTCTATTGCACCTGTGTGACCAAATGCTTTTGCATGCATTTTTGTTTTGATTTTTACTGTCATTCAAGCGAATCACACTCATTTCCAGGGCAATGCCAATTTACCCGTTTCATGTACCCGCACCAAACGCTCATTCGGTGTGTAGTACTTAGTTGGCGGTGGTGGTGGCGCTTTGATGGTCAAAATACCATCGGATGAAAGATTTGAAATCACATTGTTGGCATTGAAACCGCGTGGCAGTAAATATTTCCGTATAAAGTGGCGTTCCACAAGTCCATTGCCATCGTTTCGCTTCTCATGGTTTCCCTGCACGATCACATAGTCATCGTTGGTCTTCACCACAATCTCGTGTGGCTTAAATTGACGCACATCAATGTCCACTTGAAATCCCTTCTCATCCACATGCACACGCTCGCCCGCATAGTAATTCTCCCAACGCATCGGATAACGCCAGTCCAGCAGTGAGGATTGTATCAACTGATTGCGCACGCGACGCGTAACCAAGTCGTCCAGTGGACGCAGCAGATGTTCCGTTGAGGGCCAAGACAATCGCGTGTCGTCCCAGAGGTAGGGGTATAGATGAAAGTCATATGGTGGATAGTAACGTGGACGATCGAGTTCACGCGCGTAACTGTCATACGTGGTTGGCACGAGCGTCATTTTCGGTTGCTCTTATTCTATTTTGGTAAATTGAATTTTGAACTGAAATGCTTGTTAGTCCTCTGCCAGCAATTAAATTTATAAAATTTTTGTTAGTGAAATTTTGCCTTTTATACTCGTAGTCTGCAGCCTGGCGTCGTCTCATTGCACTTTGCGTCCGACGTCATTGCCATGAATTCAGTTGGCGCTTAAAGGGCCTAATGGAAATGTGGTGTGCAATTGTTCTGTTATGAAACATATTATTATTATTTAGAATTAATGCCAAGGCTATCGAAAAATAAACCACCAAAAAAGATGAACTTATTTAGACCGAACATTACGGGACTGAACTCTTATAAGTCGAAAATTAACATTGCACAATTACTGGAAACAAGCCGGTTGGATAGCCTGTGGTTCAATGGGATCGAGTACACAGGCCTACCCAAGCTCCTAACCTAAATTTTATAGAAGAACTTTTAAGTGATATTTCGAAAGAAGTCGGAAAGGTAAAATGAAATAACCGTACGCTTGCGAAGAATACTTGGAGATCAAACCAAAAAAATAAACTCTTTTTGCTCGCCTATAAAATTTCTGTTATTATACCCTGAATAGGCTATATTAAGTTTGCCACGAGGTTTGTAAAAAATAAATGATAAATGTGACGAGCTGAGTCGATTTAATCATGTCCTGTATATACGCGAATTAGTCCCTCAGTTTTTGAGATATAGATCTGAAATTTTGCACACGTTCTTTTTTGCCCAATCAAAATTTTTCCAATAATCGAAATCGCCGATGTTAGATCACTATAGCACATAGCTGCCATACAAATCTGATCCAAATCAAGTTCTTGTATGGAAAAGTTTTTTATTTGCTGTCATTTAAATTAACCGATCAAAATGAAGTTATTGTATGAAAACTTTTTTATTTCTGAAGGGTATTAGAGCTTCAATGCAATCGAAGTTAATTTTGGTAATTTTTTATAGATCAACCATACTCTATAGCTCGATCCAATTGATAATCCTATTTCTATTTGAAACTAACAAGTAAGTCGAATTTGAATTCATAATTGATTCGATCTTTTGTTCTAGTGAAGTCGAAAATTCTACCATAAATGAAGCTGAAAATTCAATTTCAAGACGTTTGACGTTGATAAATTATATCCGGTCACATATTCTTCTATGTATATGCGTTTGAATCACCTTATATTTGAATTATTACTTATAGCATTGTTTTGAAAGATATTAAAAAAAAATACGTTGATAGTTCGAGGCCATGCGTTTTATTAATACGGATATTTTGAGTTCATTTAATTTCTATGTAAATAATTTTTTTTTTTTTTTTTAATTATAATATAGTTGGAAGAACATCGATACGAAAACTATGTATTAAAAATTGCATATTTTTAGCTTTTACTAATTCATAATATTCAGAAAAAAGTAGCCTGTCGTAAAAATTACTACATAGTATTATATCTTTGAGTGTTCGATATTTATGGCTAATATCATTACTTAAGATAACGTAACAGCCGCAGATTTGGCAGCTGCCAGTTAGCAATGATTCATCCGGGATGCACACAGTCGTTAACGTAATGTAAGGGCATTTGGCCATCGCACAAGAAAAATATTTACGAAAATAGAAATTGAAAGTAAAAGGTAAATAATATAAAATTGAAATACTTGCACAGAAATATATATATGTATGTGTGTATATATAAATGGCTAAAATGAAAGAGCAGGGAACATGCCTTGGTATACATACGAACATACAGAAGCATATGTATACTTTTATTTGCGCCTGAGTATAAATTAAAGAAAATAAATAGAAAAATACATTAAACGTTTTTTTTTTAACGAAACAAAATAAAGTAAACAAATTATATAATCATATTTAAAAATATATATGTATCTATATATATTTTAATTAAAACGCATTTTATTAACTTTTTTTTTGAGATTACGTTTATTTTTATTGTGTATCCAGTACGACAGAATATAGCGTACATCATCATAGTAGTTATCATCATTATCGCCATAGTCATTATTAGCATTGCAATTTTGCTTATTATGAGTATTTTCTTTAATTTCTTCTCAATCTTCGCTATTCCTTTGTTAATGCGTTTTTATTTTCTTTTAAACTTTTATTTTTTTTTAATTTCCTTTTTTTTTTGTTTTTAATTCTCAATATATGTACTTCTTTAATATCAATATTTGAATCGCTCTTGCCTTCGCGCTCTCTTTTTTAATAGTTTTTTTTGTTTATATGTAATGTTAGCTGTATTTGTTTGTTTTTGTTTTTTTGCTGCATTTATTATTAATTTTCATTTGCTGCTGTTGCAACTGTTTTCAATTCAATTCTGTTTCCATGCATGCATACACATACATACATACATAAAATCGTATATAATTGTATATATGTATGTATGCATAAATGTGTAAAAATAAAGGAAAAAAGAAAAATATATGCATATTATAGACTTGAATGTAATTTTCAAATGGCAAGTCCTCGGACTATTTATTTATTAAATAAAATAGAAAACTATTGTAAAAAATTCAAAATATTTTTGATTTAAGTTTTATAGATATAAAAACTTTTTAAAATCTAAAATTAATAATCAAAATACTTAAAAATTGTTTCAGAGAAATAATGATTAATGAGAAAAATTAAAAACAAGTAAAAATAATTGTTAATTAATATTAATAAAAAATATATAAAATACTAAAAAATAATACCAATAAAATAAAATATAAAAATTGTGTATTAAAGAGTAAAATAAAACGATTAAAATTAATTGAATAAAAAAAATTTGACCAAAGAAAAAAAAAACAAATATACTTTTAACAAAACAAAAAAAAAAAAAAAAAAATTAAAATAAAAAACTGTACTTTTACACAATTTTTTTAAGTTTTTTATTTATTTAATATATATTTTTTTATTTCAACGTTATTTATATTCAACTAATTTTATTGCTCTGTTTTTTAAATATATAATAAATAAAAATAAGACGAATTTATTTTTCTCCACACAAACACAATAAGATATAGAATTTCATTAAAGAAATTAGTTCATAAAACTAAATTAAAAACTTAAAATATATAAAAATGCTAAAATAAATTTAAATAAATATACAAATAAACATAAAATATAATAAGCTCAGACTACATAGGAACATAAAAGACTCGAATAAACCGTTGGAATGCAAAGTGTGTGAACTCAGTTTATTTTAGCAGCAAAAGCTATTTGTTTATATAGAAAATTAATACAAAATCTTTATAATTTGTCACATACTCGATTTATTATAATTTGCAAGGCTCTTTAACTAATAGTATTTAGCGTTCAGTTGACTACTATTTTTATATGTAAGTGTATGTGTGTTTGTTAAAAATTAATTTATGTTAGAATGTGTATGAATGCATGTAGGAAATGGCGTTTTTATGTACGCCTGTTGCAATTTATATTTCTACTTTTTATATCACTTGCTTCATCTGCTTTTTGTTTCTATTTTTTACTTTTATTTTTACTTTTACCTGCTACTACCATAGTTAAGTACTTAAAATGTAAACGCAATTTTTTTTTTTTTTTTTTGTTACTTTTTTGTGTTCTGTTTTTCTCATATATACGTATGTATCTGCCAAAGTGAATTCTTATACCGTTATTTTTTTCCTAACTCCGCAATATTTTTTATTTTTCTTATGCTCAAATCTTTCGTGCTGCACCACCACACCATTTGCTCTCCCACTCTCTCTAGCGCTTAGTTAGTTATCTCTTCGGTGTTCAGAGCAGGTTTACTGGCTGCAACATCACCGACACCACCATCACATTGCGTCTTGGCCAAAAGTATGGCAGCATCAGCTGCCGCCACCAGATCAGCTGGTGTGGGCGATTGGGCAGCAACCACTAAATTACCAGACGAGAGGTTCTCTTCATTGCCATCCTCAACATTTTGCGCAGTAGTATTGCTGTCGCCTGCCGTGATTACATTCACATCTACGCCGACGCCGACGCCGATGGCTTCGATGCCAATAGCGATGACACCACCATCCAAGCCGTCGGCATCCACCACACCATCGACAACGTCTGCGACCACAGTGACATCGGTGTCCATGGCTGTGACACCATCAACTTCGGCTACTGTTGTCTCTAAACTGATCGTTAGACTATCGCCTGTAGCGGCAGTCTTATTATCGGATACACCATTATTGGTAACCAAAACAATTTCGCTGGCCTTAGCAATAGCTGCGGGTGCCAATTCGATATCAATGTTGTTGGTTGTGTTATTTTCGATACCGTTAGCTTCTGCGGCGCTTACAGCGTCGTTAGTTGGTGTGACGATATCGTTGGAAGTGGAATTGTTATTAGTTGTTGTTGCTGTTGCAGCTGAGTTAACACCACCATTAACGTTGATGTTGTTGGCGGACGCTGCATCATCTTTAATATCAGCTGTGGGTAGTGAGACCACTATAGGCTTCTGTGCGACCACTTTTTCCTTAGTAACCGACTCGAGCTCTTCCTCTGTCTCCATTGGCTCATCTGCTGTAGCGTCAGCCATGATGGCGTCAAGAGTCGACGATGATTTTGTGGCATCGCTTGCGTGTGGCGCTTTATTATTGACATTCTCTATAGCGGCGAGTGTCTGCTCGGCATTCTTCACTGCAGACTCCGTCTCTTTCACTTCAGTTTGCGAAATGGCCTTGGAAGTAGCAGTGGCTTTTAACTCACTACAGTCCATGTTGGTGTCGCCACTGTTATTGTTACTGTTAGTATTAATGCTATTGTTGTTATTATTGTTGGCTATGTTGTTGGTGCTGGTGTTGGAAGACGTGGCTGTCTGCTCAGCTGTTCGTGTTTCAGTCTCTGGCTCGGCGAGCAACTCATTCGGTTCCAGTTTCCCATTGCGTTCGCGCGTTATCTGCAAGTCTTTTGTTGTTGCCTGTGACAATTTTGTCGGCTGTTGTTGCACACCTTCGACTGTTGCACTCAACTTTTCAGGCTGCTTGTTTTGCTGCTTTTCTTGCTTTTGCTGTTGCTGTTGCTTTTGTAAGGTTGTTGCCACCGCTATTGGTAAGCTACCAGCTGCAGCATCAGTGACTGTCTGTGCCACAACAGTTACTGCACTGGTTTGGATTTCCTTGCCGCTACTAGCGGCATTTGTTGGCTCCTTAGCAGCGCTCTGTTGAACCTGTACCGGTCCGCCGGTTTGCTGTATATCGACAATGCGTTCCATAGTTTCGTCAGTCTTCAGTGCTGGCGGTGGCGCCTTAACAGTCAAAATTCCATCCGAGGACAATGTTGAAAGCACTTCGCTCGGGTCATATCCCTTCGGCAGCATATACTTTCGGATGAAGTGTCGCGAAATGACGCCATGCCCATCTTCCTTGTCTTCGTGCTGACCCTCGACGACGATACAATTATCGATTGTCTTGACGGTCAGTTCGTTGGGTGCGAATTGCTTCACATTCATGCTGACCTGAAAGCCATTCTTATTAACCACCGAATACGCGGATTTACTAGCCGTCGAATTGCCAGCTGTATTGGAGGAGTTCGTCGAGTTTGTAGCATGAGCACTAGTAGCTGTCGACTCCTTGTCAGCCGCAGTTGTGCCGGCTGCTGTGGGGCTAGAATTGATGACGCCAACGCCACCACCGCCGCCGCCGCCAGCAGTCGAAGATGTTTCCTTTTCCAGCTGATGGTCTTGCACCAAATGTATGGGAGTTTTGTTGCAACATGGTTTGCCACGATAATAGGGATGGTGTCGACTTTTACTTATATTTGGCAGCCAATAAAACTGGGAGAGGGTGCGTGGGCGTCGCTGCTGCGACAAATGTTGTTGCTGTTGCTGCAGTGGATGTTGCGACTGCTGTTGTTGTTGCGGCGACTGCTGCTGCTGCTGCTGCGGCTGCAATTCATGCGGATAGATACCGAAACCGAAGTCGTCGACATCCATACCACCGGTGGATAGGCAACGATTGAATTCATGCAACTCATCGGCCAATTCGAGTATGAACGGTATGAGTGACATCTTTTAGGTGCGTACGTATGTCAATTTTTTATTATATATATATGCTATATATGTATATATATATATCTTTATTTACGGAAAGCAGTTTTTTTTTTGCTACAAAGCACACAATTTTGTAAACGCACGTCGGCGACGCGTTCACGAATTTTCGACACGTTTCAAATGGCAGCGTTTTTCTCTCTGACTTTTTACTCGTCTTTTGCGCGTTATAAACAATGATATTTATTAAATTATTTTCACGAAGTTAACACTTAAATTTTATGCTTTCTGCTCTCTGTCTGTCTAGGCTGGTTAGTTGGTGCAGTAGAAGTTGTACCATTCGAATGCAACCGATGCGCTGCCGAAACACGCCCGATTTGCTTCTTAACTGGTTTTCATATGAGTGCAAATTGCTGAATGCTGCCCTTTTAAACCAGTTTGCAGCGCTGAATGGAAAGCTCACAGCAAATTCGATTGGAAGTCCAAGTTCAAGCATATGATCGGGGTGCGTCAGGAAACTAACCGGCCGCCGCGTAGCTAAGTCGTCGTTATGCCGGCAACCGATTGTGTGCGTGCAGCTCGCCAGCTTTTTGCAATACGTTGCAATGCGACGACTGCATTGCCGTTTTTTTTTTTTTTTTCTTATGCTGCTCTGGTTGTAGTGTAAAATGAGATGAAATTTTCGTTGCGGCGCTGCTAAGGCTTTGCAGCCGCTGCTATGCGCAGTAGACGCTTTCCAAATGTACACGCCACAGCATTTTAACTGGTTATTTTACTCTTATTTCATACGAAGCTACATTATGCGTATGCCTTTGCAACAAAATGTGAATTCATTGAGTTGACAAATTTATATAGGAATCATTATATACATACATACATACTTGTTAAATTGATTATATGCATTTATATATTATATATATATATATATATAAATTATTTTGTATATATGTATGTTTGTATTTAATTTCGAAAAGCGCCCACATGCCTTTATGATAATGCTTCGATAAATCAATTGTTTTCACTGTGCAAATACATACTGACTTTCTGGTAAGGTAGGGGCTATAGAGCGATTTTGAAAATATATATATACAATTTAAAAATTAATGCATATAAATTATGCAAATCATATAACTGTGTTGTGTTTTTATTCACTGAAATATACCCTTTATTAAGTTTACCACGAAGTATAAGTGTAAAAGAAACGTCGGAGACCCTATAAAATATATATAAAAGATTAGACTGACGAGCTGAGTAGATTTAGACAAGTCTATCTGTCTGCATTATTAATTTGAATTCCTAGTGAAGGCAATAACTTATAGAAATTTTTTAATTTTCGAAAAGATTTTCGTACATAAGAAATATTTTTATATATTCCATCAGCAGCTCGGTTGTTTCTTAGCTAGAAATTGGATGTTATTTGTTCGGATCGCAGGTGTGAAAATGCATTAATGTATCACAATGATACTAAGTAGTTCCATACGTCTCCAAAATAGAATTAAAACGCCTATTAGTAGGTTAAAGCGTTATAGGCTTTTCCCTTTTTTTTTTAGATAAGAAGAGCCTAATTCCAATAGTGAGTCATCCGGTCAATTTAAGAAAATTTCAACGAAAATGTAGTTAAGAGTTTATCTTTATGCATATAGTATAGGTGTCTATAATTGTAATCACTCACGCACGGAGGTGTTAAATTTCAAGCTGAACTTTTAAAGCGCTTTCAGCTTTACTAAACTGTTTAAATAAATAAAAAAGTATTGACAGCTGACAGCGGCTATAGCAGCATTATTATTATTAAGAACTTATTTAAACATTTCGGCATACTTATTTATGTACAAACTCCTTATATAACTATGTATATTCACACATACTATGTACTTACGTACATACTATATAAATGTTTAAAAATAAAATTTTAGAATACACACTATTGAAATGAATTTTCCGGAGCTTTTTCTTTCTATGTCTACATATGTACATATATATGTATGTATGTATAAACCTACATTTTTTCTAGAATTGTTTTCAGCAGACACGTAAAAATTACTACATTACATTAACATTACTTCTCGCACCCTGCCGATGCAGCCCACAAGAAATGCGTTGTAAGTAGTTATTCAGTCAAATGTATACATGTACATATGTATATACCATATATACATAAGGTCATACGTATTTACATAGGTTATGACCGAAATATGTTCAGTTACAAGAGTGAGAATTTAAATTAACAAAATAAATCGATAATTATCCCAGAAATGCATCACTGACAAATGGACTTACTGATACTCATATATACATACATACATATATACATATATGTGCTAAGTAGAATATGTGGTTGAAGTTCGTTAACATATAGTATATACATCAATACATATGTATGTATGTAGTAGCTATCTTATCTTTTGCAAAATAAAAGCTCGCCTATGTGACGTTACCGGCTTTTTTCGACTTTCGCTTGCCTCTGTTGTTTGTATACAAAATTTTTGCAAATGATGTAGCTTTGTTTATTATTACTTATAAACAATTTTGTTTGAGTAAATGTATTTTAAATTCGAGTACATTTCACCATAAACAACAGCTATTTATAAGCATCTCAAAAAATAGTAGTCAGTCATAACAAATGATTTCTCGCACGTTGCGCGTTCAAGTGTATGACTGTATGTGTATGTATGTAGATTTGTAAATGCATATGTATGTACCTATATACATTAATGTTGGCAGATATGAAGGTGGGTATACTGATAAATTATAGATTTTTTTTTACGATTGGTACCAGGAAAAACTTTATTTTTCAGCAGTTTAATATTTCATGTTTTTATAAGGCTGCTCATAACGGAAGGTTTATATGTGCAAGTATATACGTTTTTGTGTATATACATAAATAGTTCCTATCGAAACGCATAATACATAAGTGGATGTATTTACTATATACACAACATTCATACATATGTATAAGTAATACTTATTGAAGTATATTAGGCCTAAAGAAATTAGAGATGTACAAGTATGTATTTAGTATTTATGTACTTAAATAGTAATACAAAAATATATGTGAAAATAATAGTCCTATTTGATTTTTATGCTTATATAAAACTGTTTAGTTTATATGTACATATTTATTGTATATTGTAGTGCAACAAAGTAGCGTAGGTGCACACCTTTAACGCCTGAAGAATCAGCATCACATATATGCTACGTCATATATCTGCTATATACTTATACATATTTATACCTCCATATGTACTTATCGCCAACAGCCGCGACAATCACGAAAAGTATCCCTCATGTATTGGAACTTTACGCAATATTTCCATCGCTTTCATTCTACAACAGCTGAGAGAGCACCCAGCTCAGCTGTTGTTATTGTTGCCATCGTCTAGTGGTGTGTGTGTGTGTGTGTGTGTATGGCATTCGTTGTCAGAGAACCGGTCGTTATGCCGGCAAATATCGAGACAACATAAGCAACAGCAACAATTTTGCCGGCACGAACAGCAGTAAAAGCAACAAAAAACAGCTGGTTACCAGACAAGTTGCCCGCAGAAGTTCCAGAAAGCCGGGGGCTGAGCGCAGCAGCACGTCGCAGTCAGTCGTTTAGGGCAGCGTATAATTTTCACAAGCTTCACTGCGCATGTCGCTGAAAAGCAGTCCCTTGGCCCTTTCTGGTTTGCATGACCCATGTTGCGCCCGGCGGCATGCAAAGCGCTACACGCTTTATAGATACTCATAGCGTAACGATTTTATACACACTCGTGCGCTGATGATGCACATACATACATAGTATGTCTACACAACGGCTGGTGGGTACAAACCATATGCAATTTTCTGGAATTGCGTAGCTGCTGGCTGACTTGGTGCTACATCGCAGCTGTGTGGAGAATCGCGTTGAGGAACGCATTGACTGGAAATGAACATGGCATTCAGCTGATGGCTGCAAAGCACCGGTGAATTTATATATTCGCATGCAGCGCACAAATGCAAATAGATACACACACATACATACATACATGTACATATGCATTTAAAATAAGATTGTATCTTTCAAGCGATACAGGCCTGTGAACATTGTAGAGAAACATATTTCTTTTTTTGTGTGATAATTTTGCTATTGTTATGGTTTCCACGGTGGCTGAGTATCTGGTAGTTGCGTTATATAGGCGACAAATTCATTCAATCTCACACGGGCAGCGTAGAGGTGTCGCCGCTTTGCTGGAAGTGGGAAAAAAATATTATTTTTAACCATGCCGGTTTGTGTGGTTATAACTTATATGTAATTACATACTGTCATACATATGGAAGGTATATACTTGTATGTATGTATGTAAGTAGTGTGCATATACAAACATATATATGTACATAGGTACTGTCTGTTTAAAAGCTGTTTAAAAACTGGAAATCTGCATAAAGAGGAGAATGTATTATATGTCCAGAAGATTTTCTGGAGAGGTGGTCATGTATGTACATACATAAAAATAAGTTACATATGCATATGTATGTGTATATATAAACTAGAAAAAAAATATTAGTTTGTAGTCAAAAAAGCGCTAAGAGAAAAAGCAGTAGTGTGCAAAATATAATCGAACAAACAACTGGTATAATTTAGAATATTAAGCTTTTATGTCGCTATAATAAGGTAGCCAGACTGTCGAGGATATCTGTCAAAAATTATAATCGATTTTTTCTTACGGTGGTTCTAGAAAAGACGAATGCACATTTGTATATTTTTTCAGAGGTGTTGTGGAGTCCAAGCCAGATTAGTGTTGTTGTCAGAATTGCAAACCAATTTTGATTTTCAATGGTGTCACAGAATCTGATTGGATTTTCGTCTTTTTGAACATATGCAAAACCAATATTCGAATCAGCTGTTTACTATTGTGACAGAACTTGTAAATGAATAAATTTGGAGGTGTTTGATAAATTTGAAATACCGAATAAAGTTTACTTAAGTTTACAATGAGTTCCGCTATTTTATTGTAGCTTTTATTTTATTGGGATAAAAAAAAAAAAAACGAAAAAATGAAAAGGAAGATTTTAAAAGATCAAAGTAATCCTCTTGATGCACTAGGGGAGTCGTATGTGTTTGTATACATGTTTACTTTACAGATTTATATCACATTATCGACTGAATAAAGACGCATTTGGGTGTTAAATTACGTTTTGTAAATCCTCTTAAAATATCTGGATTTTGTCCCATTAACTCATTAATTATGACATTTTGTGTTTTATTCTTATGTTTTTCCCTATAGAAATAATGATAAATTAAATCGTAACAATAATACAAATTATTTTCTTAACTTACATTTCAAGCCCTTCAAGGAATATCCTCCGTGACATCCAAAACCGATAAAATTTCTGTTTCGAAAGTCAAACCAATAATATCTGAATTCATGACACCAACTACATTTTCTTATCGGTTTCAATTCTGATTCCGACAACTATCAGATTCTGCAACACCCCTGATTGATCGGGTGTGAATGGAGATGCAAAGAATAATTTAGTGTAATCTGAATATCATTGTATAATCCTTCTTGATTTATACAATGCTGAAAACTCGGGGAATACAGAACATACAGAACAGATGTATGCATATGTATATCCATATGTCATTTGGTTCATTGTGTCATCTCTGAAAAAAGTGTCTGTGGATGGTTTCAATAGATCTTCATTGAGCGTTTTGAATGCTCCATAACTGTCAACCTGCAGTGCGTTAACAGATCTTTAGTTTACCTTATCTACTAGTTTCCAGGTCTTGCCTAATTAAGGATCATCTAAACGATTGTCGGAATTTTAAATAGTTTTAATTTCGTATCAGAATATTATATCATATAATCTAATTTATGTAGATCGTTAAGGAATTGGTCCATAAGTTTCGTTTTCTAATTTCTCCATTTTCTTAATCTATTACCGGAAACATTTCCATGAAAATCAAATTAGTTCAAAATCACATATTTTATTTATTAAATTCTGAAGGCTTTTGGTGAAAAACTCCTTCTGAAGGAAAATAAAATATGCTCGTTTATTTTACAAAATTTTTTTTAGAAAAGAAAATAATTTTTTATACCATCATATATTAAGTCTAACACACAGTTTGTAACAGCCAGAAGGTGACGTTCGATTCCTTATAAAATATACATATATGTATTTATATATATGAATGAACAGCGTGACGAGCTGAGTCCATTTAGGTATGTGCGCCTGTCTGTCTGTATATACTAGTCCCTCAGTTTTTGAGATATCGATCTGAAATTTCGCAGACGTCCTTTCCTTCCTTCATTCATTTGCCGACAAACTGAATGATCAAACTCAAAACCTTGTATGGAAAACTTTTTCATTTGTTAAAGCATCGTCATGAAATTCGGCATAGATTATTATCCAAGGCAACGCTACAATATCCGAACAAATTATTCAGATCAGACAACTATGACATATAGCCACCATGCAAACTGACCGATTAAAATCAATATAAAGATCTTTTTATACTCTTTTATAGTATAAGAGATATACCTGTGAAAGGTATTACAGTTTTGGTGCAGCCGAAGGTAACGTTTTTCTTGTTTACTTTATCGATAAACGTTCGATTAAAAATGGTTATTAAAAATATTATAAATAGGAATTCCAAATTTATTGATAGCAACTTTTTAAAATATATAATTTAATCTTTATAAACTTTAAATATACATATGTATATTATTAATAGCATTTTAGATACATATATTTTTACTGACAAAGCACAAAACAGCTGTACAATTTCAGTTATTTAATATACATATTTATTAAAAAATATATGTTTAACTATACTAAAATTTAATAATATTATTCACACAAAGAAACAAAATACGTAGTATATGCAAAATCAGAAAGTTCCTCCCACTTTTTCGAGCATGTTCACGTAAATTCTTTGCCATTTAGCAACTCGTCTCTTGTAGTACAAAAATAATTCGCAACAATTTTACTGAGCGAGAAATCTTTCGTCGGCAAAACACACTCAAACGACAATGAAAAGCTCTATACTTGTAGATACTATTGAATTTTCTCGGAGATTCCCGTAGGTTAATGCCACTACGTCAGTCACGTTTTGCCGCTCTCTCGTAGATACGTCTGTATGTAAACACGCTTTTAGGGTGCTATGTGTTCTTATCAATTGCGGCAGAAGCAATTGCCATTGTTTTTGTTGTTCTCTCGCTAATTTTTTCGCCAATATGTGAGAGTATAAAAGAGCCAGAGTCTACAACAATCGGCATCAGTTAAACAGAAAATCACAAAAGATAAACGCGTTGAAAAAGCGCCCATCAAAGCAAAAGCTAACAAAAAATTAAAATATTTCAATTTCGAGCATTTATTGAAAGTGAAAAGTAATTCAAAAGTGAAAAATGGCAAATCTACCTTTAATCTTGAGCCTGGCCGATGACCTCAGCCGCTTGACGCCATTCTACGAACCGGCCTTCTATTCGCGGTGGCCAGCACTAGCTGCCGCACCCGGAACTCAACTGCGTAAATTCGAAAAGGACTTACCCGTAGCGACAGTGGGCAAGGACGGCTTTCAAGCCAGTTTGAATGTGCAGCAATTCAAGCCCAGTGAGTTGAATGTAAAAGTGGTCGTTGATCACATCGTGGTCGAGGGTAAACATGAGGAGCGTGAAGATGATCACGGTTACATCTCACGACACTTTGTTCGTCGCTATGCTTTGCCAAAGGGATTCCAGGCCGATAAAGTTGTGTCCACACTGTCTTCAGATGGCGTTTTAACTGTACGTGTGCCGAAGCCAGCTATCGAGGATAAGTCCAATGAGCGTGTGGTCCCAATTCAACAAGTTGGTCCCGCACATTTGAATGTGAAGGAAAATCCCAAAGAAGTCACCAGCGAGGAGCAGGCAAACGCTTAAGCGCTCACTGTCTTCACTCGCTTTGCTGCTCAGGGTTGATTCAGTCAATTCAATTGATTCGTTTCACTGTTAATTCACTTCAATCAATATACATACACACATATATGTACATATGCAGTTAATTGTTGCCAAAAATTGTATTATGAAATAATACTGTATCTTTTCTAAAATATATATTCTATCATTTAAATAAATCTTAATATTAAAAAATAAACACTCGAGATTTTAATTATATAATGTTTTGTTCTATCATGAAAATCGATGTACCGTGGATTGTAGTGGAGTTTTTGGCTTTTATATTGGTTCCGATTGTTTCTTGTCGCGTAAAAGTTGATACTGTTAAGTTCTTATTCAAGGAACCAGGTTAGGACTGTAGGCCAAATCGGTACGATTGTTTCCCCAAGAGGTGCCTTGAACATGAGTAGTAAGATTACTGGACAACAAGAGAAGTTTTTAGACTCACTTTTAACTTTTGCAAATGTACCTAACCCATATGCTGCACTGTTGTTGTAAATGACAACAAACTTGATCTGAATTTATGATTAATTATTGTCTCAAGTCTAGATTCCAAATAATTTACTGCGTCCGAAGTGTGGGTAGATTCCTTCGTTTCTACCGAGATGGTATTTAGTTGAATTTCAAACGCTACAAGTAAAAAGCGTTAACAAGCGCGAAAAACTCTCAAACAAAAACTTTTATAAAATAAAGTTAAGAACTGTTTTTGAATTTTTTCTATTCTCGAGAAGTGAATAAACTAAATACAAAAGAAAATGTCGTCTCTACCATTGATCTTGAGCTTGGCTGATGACTTGAGCCGCTTGACACCATTCTACGAACCAGTGTTCTACACTAGTGGCAGCAATCAAACTTCCTAAAATGGTCGTTTGCGCAAATTGGATAAAGATTTGCCATTAGCTACATTGGAAAGGATGGGTTCCAAGCCAGTATGGATGTACAGCAGTTCAAGCCAGTGAGTTGAGTGTGAAGTGGTCGATGATCACATCGTGGTGAGGGTAACATGAGGAGCGTGAAGATAATCAGGTTACATCTCACGACACTTTGTCCGTCGTTACGCTTTGCCGAAAGGATTCAGGCCGATAAAGTGGTTTCCACACTGTCTTCGGATGGCGTCTTAACAGTTAGTGTGCCAAAGCCAGCTATCGAGGATAAGTCCAACGAGCGTGTGATCCAAATTCAACAAACTGGACCAGCACATTTGAACGTAAAGGATAACCCTGAGGAGACTACCAAAAAGAGAAATCAAAATTATAAGTTCAGTTCGTGATAGATAATTTATTAAGAGAAAAAGTCTGTTTATAATTAAGTTTAAATAAAATTGACTAATTTGAAACTTAGAAATGTCTTTCATTGATTGGTGTATGTGTGAAGCGGAAAACAATAGCATAGCTTTGAGTTTGACATGTCTTGGCGTAGTGAGTGATGTTGCTTTGACATTACTCAATGGCTTACTACATACAATATAAGAGTTCACTCCTGGTAACTTTAACTTTTGTATAGCAGGTTGATTGTTGCTTTCGATGATCAAAAGCATTGATGGACTACATATATTTGATTTTCTAACTGCCTTTTTCGGTTTGAGCGTACAGCGCAATTACAAAGCATTATCAATATCGACTGTCGGAGGGTTGTTGATTCGAACCCACATTTAAAATCAAACGCTTTTAATTAAGACTGCTCATTATAGAATAATTTCAAGATGATATTTTACATCTCTCTCACATTAATAAAGACTTTCTCACATACGTTTCTTCTGCACAATATTATGGATAAGACCCGCCTTGGTAATGAAGGCTAGAGCCAATATTAAAAATACTACGCCATAAGAACAGTCATCTGGCGTGCATCCATCATTCCATTTCATATTTAGGGAAGAATTTGAAGATATGCCATATCCAAGGATTGCTTTTGCTTTATCAGGATTTGACTACTTAGTTAGTAGGTCTTACTGTATCTTCCAGTATATTCCGTATTAAATATACGTTTATGCAAAAGCGAAAGGAAGGAAGCAAGTTAACAAAAACAGCGTTTCCAAACTAACCAGTAACATCTTCAATTAAATCTTGTAATTTCTTACAAAGAGTTCTCATTCTTTACGCACTCTTTCATTTGCCAGCTACTACTCTGATAGTTACATTAATTAGGGGATGATGACGCTTTTTCTTCAGTAATTTGTTCTCCTATGTAAATATCTGGGCAAATCTTTTAATCTTTATAATTCATATGAATTTCTGCAATTAACTAGAATTTCTATATTTATTGAAACTATAAAACGAAATATAATATTCTAGATTTTAAAACAAATAAACCGAGTTTATTGCTTAAGTCTTTTGTTTCAATGCGACTAAAGCTTCTTCAAAACTAAACAGAAAATGTTCTCGGCAGCAACTATTTAAATTTAAATTTTACAAGCTTTCTTCATAGAAAAGCTGAAAAACCGAATATATTGCAAACAGCTGATTCTTAGCTTATAGCCAAGGTAGAAAAATGGAATACTCTCGAAATAAAGGAAACTCTTTCGATTTATCCTATTATTACATTTTACGACCACATCTGGGGACGTTAGGGGAACACTAATTATGTGACATTCATATCTCAATGCCTATAGAGTGTTTTTAGTTATAGAGTAGAGAATTTTCTAGAGTGATGGCTGTCAAATTAACTATAGGGTAAACGTGATACATTGCTGACTTTATGTTTAGTATGGAAATTATTTGGTTCAAATCAAATGTCCTGTTCTCACCGCCAGAGTTTCCAGATTTGTCCGAACGCATTCCACAAACTACAATCAGATTACAGCGAAGAAAGTAAATATTTTCTCCATCACCCAGAAGCAAGATTTTATTCGATTTTGTTTTATGATTAAACCAGCAGTTGACCAAAAATATATGTATACATACTTATGTGGTAAACAAAATGGGAAAATTGCATTTGTTGACAGCAAATAGGTACACATACACTACACATGTATATAGTCTGTTATTCTTTATATTATATCTATTGATGCATAAAGTTAATGAAAAGATACGCGAACGTAATTTTTATGACAAATTCTTTGGCAAATAATTTAGAATTCTCGGAGAGGCAACACAAGTTACATATACTGCTCTTTTTCTTTCAGTGCAGAATGCTAGCTACTGTCTACTGTATGATTTCTGTCAATCATGCAATATGGTAAGTGCTGGAGCTCTTTGAGTAAATTCTGGAAGTTATGAGAAAACTTAACCATTAATTTTCAATTTAAATCGAATAATTATTAATATGCATTGTTTAAAAGCATTTACATACAGAAAAGTTCATATTTATATATTATGACTCATAATTTCTATATATATTTGTCTCTTGAATGCTAATTTTGCAATAACAACGTCTAAAGTATTTAAGTATATGTACGTATATTTCTGCATCATTTGTCTCATACACCAACTGCATGCATATTTGTACTTTTGTATGCATATACAACATATGTAAGTATGTGCAAATATACGTGAGTTTGCCGGCTAATTTTGTGCTTTAACCTTTTGTATTTTTATGGAAATTTCTTGAAGTCGAAAGTTCTGGCCAAATAAACTTATCAAAGAGCGCGCATACGTCATGTGAGAGAGCAGAGAAATGTACATACTTTGATAACGTCGCGGTAATCTCTCAGCAGGTCGGAATGGTTGCTCCGCTAGCTGTGAGTATAAATACACCGGCACTCGCGATTGGCAGCATAGTTGAATTTCAAACTGCTACAAGTAAAAAAGCGTTAAACAAGCGCGCAAAAAACTTCAAACAAAACTTTTACTAAAAACAAAGTGAAAGAACTGTTTTTGAATTTTTCTATTCTCGAGAAGTGAATAAACTAAATACAAAATAAAAATGTCGTCTCTACCATTAATCTTGAGCTTGGCTGATGACTTGAGCCGCTTGACACCATTCTACGAACCAGTGTTCTACACTCAGTGGCCAGCAATCACAACTTCCCAAATGGTCGTTTGCGCAAATTGGATAAAGATTTGCCATTAGCTACTATTGGAAAGGATGGGTTCCAAGCCAGTATGGATGTACAGCAGTTCAAGCCAGTGAGTTGAGTGTAAGGTGGTCGATGATCACATCGTGGTCGAGGGTAAACATGAGGAGCGTGAAGATGATCATGGTTACATCTCACGCAACTTTTGTCCCGTTCGT